AACAGAATTTTATGTTAATTAAAAATATTGTATTAATTTAAATTTTTCGTGCCACTCTATACGCTACTGAAGATTGAATAATGAACATGAATATTGTAATTTTTTTCCCTTATATCGAAAAGTCGTTACATGGGGAATTATCGAAAGAGTTGACCGATCCAAACCATTTTCTATGGCCAAACCACGTGAATGTACCAAATTTCACCAAAATACGTCAAAAATTGCGATCTGTAGCTTGAACACAAAAATGTATGGGCAAAATTTAGACGGACAGACAAGCTTTGATCACTTCAGAAAAGCGTAGCTTTGTATTAAGCTTCTCCGGGTATTACAGGGTAGTGTAGGGCATAATGTTGTAGTTTGATTACTGCACAAAAAAAACAAACTTATCTTATCTAACGTTAATGAGGCTAAATCATAATTAATTCTTAAAGTCTATTGCACAATTCGGTATTAAAAAGTATATTGAGATCAGCCTCCATTACATATGTGCGCTGTGCTTATTTAGTTACTTATTCGATTATAAAGACAATCTGCTCTGTTCATTAACTCTCTCTTTTGCAATTTCGTTAATTTTTGCTTTGTTTCCTTCCTCTCATTTAATTTCAACATTCTCGAATTAATTTCAATTCCACGTGTTCCGCCCGTTTTTTTATTAATCTTTTAACTGATTTGAAATCCTGAAAAGCTTGCAATAAATATCAGTAAAGTATTTCATAAAGCAAAAAAAACAAAAAAAAAAAAAAAAATGTATGTACACAGAAAAAAATTCATATATGTAAAAATTTTCCTATACATATTTCAAAGCGAACTTAATATTATGAATTAATATACATGCAAAATATGTTATTATATTTATGTGATCGCAAATGTCATTAATTTCGCTAGAAATTGATATGAGTAAAACAATAGCAATTATGTTTAGTTATTCTCTTTAATTCATTTGCTATATACATCATCTCTATTGTTCTCTTTGTCCGTGCTTGTTTCCTTTCTCTAATCGCAATTTTCAGTTCGACTTGCGTTTCCTAAGCTACGGTTGATATCGAGTTTTTTTAGATATTTGCAATGAAATTCAAGTGACTTTCAATAGAGAAAAATTTTAAAGAATTTTAAAAAAGAATTATTTTGCTATTGAAAAGAATGTTTTAATGAAAAAGTTGATATGTCAGTAAAATGGAAACAAGAAATTTTATGAACAAAAGTCCTATAAACGCAATCTTTCGTTTAATTGACCTTTTCTACGGGTGCTCGTGAATATGTGTTAATCTGTTTTTTTTTTTTTTTTTTTTTCTTAATTGCAAGAAAAAGTTTATGTCGTTTTAAGAGAGAAGTAAATCAAAGTCGATGCATACGTGAGACTTCGCAAAACCCGTTCGTGTGCATTGAATTTCGTTAAAGTAAAACGTCGGGTTTTGTTCGCTGTTTGTGTTTGATTCTTATGTGTGCAAGAAATGGTTTTTTTTTTTTTTTTTTTTTTGTTTTTCGTTTACTTTACTTTGTTTTATTTGCAACTAGACGACTTATTAGGAAAGGAAAGAAAAGTTATGGATTTTTAATTTTTGATATTAAATGAAAGGGTAATTAAAGAAATGAATAGAATACAGCTCTGAATAGATCAATTAATAGAAATGAAATATTTTTGTTGTTGTGAAAAAGGTGAGTAAATATATTTATTTTATTTTATTTTTATTTATCCGATTATAAAATCTAAATGAAACAATTAAAATATAGTGTATAATGCCTATTTCGTAATATTTCATATTTGATTTATGTATTTCCCATTGACTTATATAGATTAGGAAGAGGTAAGAGATAGATTTTTTGTTCGGCTTGAGTCGAATGTTTTTATTATGCATGTAGATTTAGTTTGGTTTGAGGTAAGAAAAATTTTCGATGAAAACATGATTGACACATAAGATTTGTATTGAGCATTTACTCTTGAAAAATTACTATCGATTATTTTGTAATTTTTGTTATTGATTAACGGCATTTATCGTTATTCTCTTTGCAGTAGCCGAAGATAGGGCAAACATATATATAAATATAACAAGGTAAGTGCGGATGTCATATTGTTGCCTGTAGATGTGTATCCATGCAATAACAGTTATATATATATACATGAAATTAAACTTTGAATGTATTTGCATTTAAGCGCATTTTCAAAATAATTATTAAAACTTGCATTGTATCTATTACATGATTTCAATACGAGAATCTAATTTGATTTTATGATAATAATAATAGACATACAAATGTATTATAAATTGCTTTTATTATTTTCTGTTTTTCTTTTCTTTTTTTTTTATTTATAATTTATAAATATATATAAAGCACGTCACAAACGTTTTTAAAAAATAATTCAATTAGAAATATTGTGTTATATGAAAATTATATGTTTGTGTTCACTATGAAATCAAGTAGAAGTTATAAATATTTAGTTTATAGAAAAATTTTATGAAACGACATTAATAACACTAAACTGATATCTCATTTTCTATTATACGTATGTATGTACGTATGTATGCATGTACGTATGTATGTGAAGCTGCAAGTTGAAAACTCGAGTTTAAAAGTGATTAAATTTTTTGCGAAGAATTGAAAGCCGATACAAATACATATTGAAATATAATAAGCTATGAATGTGCTTACGGTTTCATTACCAACACTAAAACTAGTATGATTAGGGAAAGTAGGCAGTCGATTGAATGAAATTGCAAAAACTAAGGCCATCTCAACTAAGCGAATTAATTATTAAAAAAAAAAAGGAAATTCGAATAAGAAGTGATATTAAATTTCTAATTAGAATTTGAATCTTATGGTAACTATAGTGGTTACATGGTACAATAGCTCATCTTTATGACGATTTGAGTGAATGAGATTTTTTGTCTCTTCTTGTAGATGGCAATGTCCTCTAAACAACTATACTATATATATAAAAGGTTTTTTTTTTTTTTTTTTTTTTTGATTACTTTCAAATCAATTAATAAATGATGGACAATTATTGTTAAAACGCTATGATTAAACATTTTCACGAAAAACATGCATCGGCCCATACATATATTATTGCTAAAGTCATACCCAATGGAATATTATAGCATAATTTAGGGTAAATAAGATATAAGACAAACTAATTACATAATGATTGAAAAGACGTAAGAAAATTGTATTCGATTCTGCCCGAATCTTCTATACTCCTCACGTGTTTCTTCAATAAACTTCAAAAAATATAAAAAATTTTGATATTCTACAATATCTGTTGGGTGCGGCAAATGTTTTTAATTATTTCAGAGATACTGTAAGATCCCTCATAAAATATACGCAGGAATGTTTATCGTTATATCTGTTGTGGGATAGGGGTCAAGAGCAAAATACTCAGTTTTTTTTACTATCAAAAACAGAAATACTGTTAGTTTAAGAAGAATGGAACACTTTTTCCAACAGGACCAGGTCAGACATTTTTATTCGTTATCAATTGAAGACTATTATAAGTCACCGTCAACCTTGTTACGAAAAATAAGAATTTAAAGTGTTTTCCTTCTAACTTCAGTTAGCAACTGAAGGCATATTTAAATTTTATATGTTTAAGTTGTTCCAGAATTTTATATTGATTCTATATACAAATATATTACGTGCTCTCAAGCGTTTGTTTCTATTGAAGCTATAAGAAGTGCTTTGTTTCCAATGCATTTGAAGCGGTTGCAAGTGTAAAAGTTTAGACATGGTTTCGCATAAGCATTTCGTCGACCTCGAATGTGTTTTCGAAAAGCAAGTCAATCATCTATACCCATATTCTCTAGACCTACTCAGTAGCGGATATTATCTGTTGGCAAATCTCTAAAGGATGTGCTAAGGCAAAAATTTCGAGTTAATGTTTGGATGAAAGTTTCATTTAACGTTTCTTGGGGAGATGCATATATATTTTTCTACTCGAAGAAAGATGACTTGGATGACCAATTACTGAAATAATCGGGAGCATGATTTCATATGAACTACGGAGAACATAAGCAGTTTCTAAGTCGCGTTTATGGATTTTGCATCTGTTGTCTAAAGCGCTAAGAGAATATTAATTTTACCTTTACGTTTGATTGCTGGAGTATCGTAAACGCAAAAAAGATTACTTTGAAAAGTCGAAATGATAAAAACATTTAGAGTGATCGTGCAAACATAATGTGAAAACAACATAAGGAAAGTGGATCCCCCTAACAAAAGACTAACATAGAAACTTACAAAAAAATCATGTTCACAGAGAATATATAGAAAGAAACAAAACAAATTCCTTACGTTAACTTCATATGAGAGCTATTCAAAATTCCTTTCTGTGGCCCACTATCGAGACATAAGAGTATATTCGTTTTGTCAAATTATTTGCAACGCATTGACAGAAACCTTGTCAAGCCTATCAAATGTGTATACATTTTTGATCATTATCGAACTTTGAATAAAACTTTGCCTCAATGTAACCATGTCCGTCCGTCAGTGCTTGTCCGCCCGTTGTGTCTGTGACAAACGCTGTTCTCGTTGCAAAAATGAAAACGTAAGCGTCAAATTTGTGAAAAATATTGGAAATTCTTGCACACAAGATTGAATTGAAATTAAGTCAAATCGGTCAAGGAACGCACGTACAGCGCAACATGAACTGCGGGCACTTGTGTTTTTTTTCGATTTCTTTCACATATTACTCATAAACCATAACAGATGTGTTGATAGAAATTTCGATGAGTAGTTTAGAAGAAGAAGAAAAAAAGTCGGCCACGCCCACTCAACATTATAGAATATCGAAATTTCACGGTAATCGTGGGTATAGAAGATTCGGTTACAGCCGTCCGCGAAATTTTCTTATTTATTTTCGTCTCTTTTTAGTTTTTGCCTTTCTTGCCATGCGTTCCTTGAGCGAGCCAAACGTTCAGCGTTGTTAATTCATGCGTTAATTTTTCTTTCTTATTTATGAGTCAAAATCACTTTTGAAGTAACAATTGTGTAATTTATTGCTTACTTACCTCCACAATGATCTTTAAAATCCACACAGCAGTCGCCCAACTTGAGACAGGCATGATCGCAATAACATGGTTTATCACTTAGATCCTCAATAATGGCATTTATGGGTGCTTTTTGCACAACGCACGATGAGTCACGTCCATTACAACATAGCTGAGCCTCGCTGCACAAGCCCGCATGCACACTTAGTGGTGTTTCAACTAACAGCAACAACAACGTGAATAGTACGACAGCATAATCGTATGTATTATAGAAGATATTGGTTATACGCAGCTTATTGTTGTTGTTGTTGTTGTTATTATTATTATTATTGTTGTTGGATTTGATAATAAATTCATTTAAATTTTGACGTAACATTTGGCATTGATATGTTGTTGGTGCTGTCGTTATTTTTGTAGTTGGTCTTCGCGGTGCTAGTAATGGTGCTGTTAATGGTGATGACGATGACTTTGATGACGTGGCTAATGGTTGCTTTTTCGTAGCTGTTAGTTGTTGACGTAGCGTTAAAGTTATGGTTAGTAACGATATTAAATCAATTGAAGGTTTTATTAATGATTTGTACATAATTTTTTTTTTCTCTCTCTCTCTCTTCTCTTATTTGACAGATAAACAACTATTTAAAATGATTTTCTGAAATAGTTTTTGTATAATTAAGGTTTTATACATTAATTTATTAAAATTATTTCGTATTAAAGGAAATGTTTTCAAGTTTATTGAAAAAGAAAAGTTTTTTCTTTCTTTCTTAAATTTTACTATAAAATTTTAAAACCATTTTATTCTGCTTGTTAATTTTTTTTTTTTTTTTTTTTTTTTTTTTTTTTTTTTTTAAACCTTTTTTTAAATCTCCTTTTTCGTATGATTTTTTGTATTTGACACAATTTTTCTCACTTTTTTTTTTTGTTATTATATTGAAATCCCTCAAGAGTTGTTTTAAAGCATATTTATGTTCTGCGGTTAAGTCATTTGTTTCATCTTTTGTTATCTTTCCCTGTTGCCTGGGTGTGCAGTTGTCTTTCGCTTGCCTCATAACATAAAAATGCGAAAGAAAGACAATTTTAAGATGAAGTCTTTTTCGATTAAGAACATCATATAAGGTCTTGGAAGCATCGCTTATAACAACAACAATAATAATAATAATAATAATAATAGCATGCTGGAGAAAGTAGAAATAAAAAGCAAATCTCTTGTGGAGCAAAACGAAAACCTTTTAAATTTTAATCCAAAGTTGAAAAAAAGGAAAGACATATGTTCGATATGGTTTATCCGAATTTCATTTGCCAAAGCTTTTAGAAAGCAATTTAGCTATATATGAACAATATTCGCCCCCGACGAAGCTGAACATTTAACATTTAACGGCTATAAAATCTAAAAGCCAACGGTCTATTTATTGGGGAAGCAAACACAAAGTTAAATTTGATCCTGTAGGGTGAAGCCATCATCTCAGAGTAAGATAGAGCAATTAGAAAGCATTTTGTTAATTGTGCATGTGTCACTAGACCGAACAGTGTCAATTTATTGTTTCTCTACATAAATAAGATTTTGTTTTGTTCTGTTTTTTTTTTTTTTTTTTTTTTCAGTTCCACACGATAGCAGGTAGTAGGCATTTAATTTAAGGTAATACATTGTCCATCGCTAGCTACAAATTTCACTTTCTTTGCGATAAAATATGGATTCGGTGTCGGAGAAGGCCGTCTGCTTTTTTCAAAAAGGGAGGTCTAGATAATTAGTTAGCCATTGAAAACAATGCTTATCCGAAGGAATAACGTGTGATGAATACGGCAGGGAGGTTCGGATAGTTTAGCGTTATTAAACTTGCCTGCGCGAGTTTTGTTTACGAGTTCGATTGTAATCATGGTAAAAAGTCACGATACGAGCGCAGTCAGTGTTCATCATGAGATAGCACAATTGTCTTTTGAATTAAGCGGGCAAAGTAACGCTTCTCGCGTTTGAAAGACATCGCGACCTCTTCAAAACTCCAATGTTAATATATTATGTAATCTTACTTCAGCAGGATAACTTATACTATTGCTTAAAGTTAACGTTAAGATATAAACAACAAAGAGAATACTGGGACAAGTTGAAGTCTCAATTTGCCATAGATAAAAATTTAAATTTTAAATTTTGAATAAAATTGCTTAGAGCTTTTAAACGGATTGCACCTATGGCTTGCTATGGCTCGCTAGTTAAGAGCACATTTTTCATGATTAATTTTCAATGTATGTGTGTGTGTATGCGCTTGCGATCGCCAACATTAGAACAACAAACGACCAAACCGCATTGTCAAATCGACTTAAGGCCTGGACATAAGCTAAACGACAGCATCGCTTGCCAACATTTTTGATGTTTGCAATTAAACCCTTTCAAAACGCATTGAATGAAATATAAGCAAAGTTATTAATTTTTACATGATTCTCTGATATCAGAAAGTGTTACAAACAAAAAATTACTCTTACTAAAGTTCCGTTATTTGATGTAAGCGGGCATGGAAATACTCGCTTCGACGATGCCTTTCAATAGTTGAAATTGTTTTATTGAAAACTCATTCATATTCTGTGAAATTTTTAATACAAAAATGTTTGCTATTAACGTTTAATTAAAACGTTCCAAGGTGTAGGCGCTACATGACATAGGCTCAAGTGTCGAAATAATTGCAAATCAGCTGAAAAGAATGCTAAAGTTTTACAAGCGTTGAAAATATGGAATTCATTTCAATTCGATCGCGTAATCTCGTATCTCATCTAATTTAAAATACATTGAAATTGCAATTGCAGTTGACCCGACTAACTTTAATTCGATAATGGGTTGAAAAAAACGAAACGGGATTGAGATGACAATACCGTGCGAGAGAGAATACTTGCAAACTGAAACATACGCCAAGCGCAGTAATACACCTCATCTAATGCGTAATAATTTTTACTGATTCACTCTCGCTTTCCTAGTAGAAAAGGACGCCATTTCTCGAGACTCTTGCTATTGCTTCTGCATTGCAATTTAATTACATATGATCGAATCAATCGTTTCGACCACAATTCTGTTCGACTGGCATTGATCCTGTTCACGCCACTTCAAAAGCTCGCAAGACTTGTACACATCTCTATTCAATTTAAATAGTGAATTTCTTCGTTCTATATATAAATTTTTTAAATCAGAGATTGTTGTTATTGCCGAGGTAGTTTTAAGGACCAATATTTCAAATGATGTATTTTTGAAGCTTAGTCTTTGCTATGGCTATGCTGTTTCTTTTAAGATTCACTGCGTGATAGTCATCAATTAAAGAAATAATAATACCTCAAATCTGAATCAAATAGTTTACTGTCTCTTGTTAGACCAGGCGTGGGATTATCGCAGTTTGGCGAATGAAAAGTTAGAAAAGTTAGTTCTTTTGATCAAGTATTTCCTTTTTAGAAAAGTCCTCAATCTTTCGAAATCGAAATTTTATTCGATATCTGGTTATCTTAGTCGCTTCCAAAGGATATTTACGATCAAAGAGTCAGTCAACCAATCAATAAAGATAACCTCCAAAATATATTTTTTCATTAGCGGGTCGTATTCGAGCAAGCACTTTGAAAATTGGTTTTCTAGAAATTAATCAAGAAGAAGAAGAATATATTTTGATTTTTTTTTTTTCTATCATCTGCTTTACGAATACCTAGTAATCATGCTGTAGTATACCCATGTTCGCCCATGTTTATATATTATCAAAATTTAAGTTCCAATCATGATCGCGGTTTGCCTTTACGCTTGTGTCGTCTTTACAAACGAGCAATTGAGGACTCGCTCATTCTGTGCACTGGGCTGGTGTGCTAGTAAAGCATAGATGTCTAAGATGCGATGAGAATAATGCCGTCTTCTTAGTCAGCTTTTAAGAAACGGACATCCTTGCAAGAATTTAATGTCACACTTTAAGCAAAAATGAATAGAACTGATCGTTTCCGTTATGTGGCTGACCACAAAAATAACACGCAAAATACTGTTCAAGAAGTAATCTCTGTGAGGAGCTGAAATATGTAAGGCTCTTGATCAGTTTGCTTTATGGAACCAGTTGTCGTTTTTTGTTCAATTTTTACCAGTTTGGGAACTTCAATAGCGAAGGAGTAAGTGGATAGATAGATAGTATCTAGCTTTTGTAAAAACTATGCTAATGATTATGAAGCCTTTTTTTTTTGGCACTGCATGCCTAGTAAAAGGACTTGAACTCAGTGAACTCAGCGTTATTTCGGTGAAGATAATGAATTTTATATCTCATCTTTTTTTTAATGTTAAATAATAAATGGTTAGAAAAATTTCAATACTTATCTTAATGCATTTGTTTAACGAATTTGTGAAAAACCGGTTCTTTAAATCCGGCTATTCGCAAATTTATTCGGATAAAAACCGGTTTTATGAAAAAAATATTTTGTACTAATAGTTTGTTCTAAAAAATTTTATGAAATTATTGTTTGCTCGAAACGTAAAAGCGCGTGTCAAAGTAAAGTAAAGGATTTCTACCAATGCCATAAATTTTTCTTTTCTATTTATATTTATGCCTTTATGATATTTGTTTGTGTTCTCGTGACATTATTATTAATTTTTTTTTTTTAATATAATTTTATTTTATCGCCTCATCGATATTCTAGTAAGAACATTTTTCTATGCAAAAGTTCATTGTTTAAGATGTTTTCCTTTCTAAATCAATTTTATTTTTTTTTTCATTCTATGCGATTCAATACTCATGATATTTCACCCGTTAAACCACACAACACAAACGCAAACTAAACAGACATTAATCAATTTCAACGTTTGAAGAAAAAGCAACTTTAGATAATACATAACATTTCACAGATCTTCGTCGATTTACAATTGAATATTTGTGTGCATTGGTTGTAAGAGAGCGTAAAGACAATGATAAATGATTGTTTGTAGTCTTCAGCGGGCAAATACACACATCTTAAATTTACAAAATGTTATCAATACTTTGATGAGTTTTTAATAAAGTTTTTTCTTATTTTTTTTTATAAAAAAATTTTGAAAAAAAAAAAAAAAACAAATTTTATTTTTGATATAAAACGATCGTTTAAACACTTTTGTTCTAGTGATACTATATTTTACTTTACTTTGGTGCTTTTATTATTAAGAAAAACGAAAAATGCTGCTCACTTCGCTTTATGCTCCGGTATCCTTTCTGTTCGTTAGTTAAAGTTCAACTGTTAGTATATTGTCCATGAGTGGTGTATTTATTATAGAAAACTTTACGTTTTTATTCAGTTGAAATTGCTGTCTGAGTCTGGTGTAACCATTTGCTGGAATTTCACTCATAGCAATGTTCAACGAAAATTGAGTACATGTAAAAGTGTTGTTTTGGTTTTTTGAGTGCAAAGCCGGCTTTTTCGATGACAAGGAAAAAAAAATTTGTGCACGAAATTTTGCAATCGTTTCAATTTCTTGCAATTTATCAAATCGTGAAACAGTGAACGTATCACTACGCAACGGTAACACGAAACTTACTAAATCGTTTACGGGTAAATTGGATATGATTCTATCCTTAAACTAGGTCCATAGAAAGTTGATCACACCTCTTGTTTACAAAATGTAAAGTTCGTAAGTAGTCATAGATGAAAACTTTAGACAAATATCACACAATAAAG